TTTTTTTTTTTTTAAATGCTTTGGTTCATACTTTTGAGTCATTAAACCGGCACCCATCTCCCATCAAGATCAGCAAGAGTGACAGCTGGACTCTTTATAATGCCGTCAAAAATTCAAACTGCATTGAGCCAAGGGGGACATTTCACAGCAACCAGAGGATGCCTGGGAGTCAGGCGTGAATGCCAATGAGTCAAATGAAAGGGCAAAACCAAATATGAGCCCTTGCTCAGCTCCACATCTCACATTGCGTTTCTCGGACTTTAGGAACTTCTACGCCGACTTCGTTCATTTTGCTGCATTCAGACTCCTCTGTCCGAGGGATTTTTACACGCATCCCCCTCCCAACCCCTCCCCGCTCGTACTTCACCTTAAAGGATTACTTCTAGCACAACTTCAGAGACTGCATACACATCTTTCAAGAACTCACTTTGGGCTTACAAACATTCCTAGACAGACAGGGCTAGGAGGAGGGTGTTTGATTTTTCGGGGTGTTTGGTTTTTTTTTTAAAGCAAAGATTTAGTATCATTGCTGCTATTAAACCGAGTGTAAGAAACGCCAGGTCTTCGGGTTAATGCGCAGACAGGGAAAACCTGTGAAGATATCCCAGGGCTCAGCACAGACTTATCTCGCAGGCACTTAAGCAAAGTAACTTTTTCTTCCCCATCTCTCCTCTGCACAAGTCCCTCGGCTCCGGCTGTGTCAGACACGCGAGAAAACGCCTCCCCACCGCAACTTCCAACACCCCCGGGTGTTTGGAAACGACCCTCCCCTCGGCACCTTACAGCGGGGCGAGAGCGGCGCGCAGAGACAGACGGACAGACAGACACGGTTCCCCCCCGGGGGCCGCCGCGGCGGAGCTCCCCCTTCACCTCCCCCCCCTTCCCTCCCCGCTTCTCCTTACCTGCGCCCCCGCTGCCTCCCGCCAACCTGCCGGCCCAGGCGAGGGCGAAAAGCAAACAGCAGCGGCGCGCAAAGCAAACAGTGCCCATGATAACGATGCGCTGGCGGCGCGGGAGCGCGATAAGGGACGCGCCGGGGCGGCCGCGGAGCCGGCGGCGCTGACGCCCGCACAGCGCCCCGCTGATTCGCCGCGGAGCCGCCGCGGGGCGGGGACGGGCGGGACGGCGCGGGCAGGGCCGCCCACGGGGAGGGAGCGCTGCGGGACAGCGGCCGGCCCGCCGGCACCGGGGATGCCCGCCGAGGGGCCGGGGACGGCGGGGGACGCGCCGGGAACGGGACGCGCGCGGAGCGGTCCCCGCGGAGGGAGGGAGGGAGGGAGTGCGGGGGGCCGCGGGGACGGGGAGAGAGGGAGGGGTGGGTGGAGGGGTGGACAGAAGGATGGTTGGATGGAGGGATGAAGGGATGGACGGACAGAGGGATGGAGGGTTGGGTGGGTGCAGGGATGCGTGGATGGAGGGATGGATGGACAGAGGGATGGAGGGAGGGCAGGTGGATGGATGAGTGGATGGAAGGATGGACAGAGGAATGGGTGAGTGGAGGAATGGAGGGATGAATGGAAAGAGGGATGGAAGAATGGGTGGGTGGATAGATGGAGGGGTGGGTGAAGGGATGGACAGGTGGATGGAGGGAGCAAGGCATTAAGGGATGGATGGGTGAGTGGATGGGTGGATGAAAGGACAGAGGGATGAGTGGATGGAGGGACAGGTTGTCAGATGATTAGATAGATGGGTGGGTGGATGAACAGAGGGGTGGGTGGATGGGTGGGTGAGTGGAGGGATGAGTGGAGGGATGGATGGGGTGAAGGAATGGATGGACAGAGGGAGGGATGGGTGGCCCCACACCGCGGGCTGTGAGGGCAGGCTGGCAGACATGGCTACCCATCTCCTCGGCAACTGCAGGCAGGGATCCTTCTCAGGCTCAGGCTAAAACACAACTATGTTTTGGTCGCCCCTGCCTCCCTCCCAACTTCACCTAACTCCATCCCTGCCTGCCACCAGCCACTGGCCTCCTCCAGGGCTATGCCGTAGAGACAATTGCCCCTTTCCAGCCCTTCCCCCATCTCACTCCTCCAAGTCCTGCTCTGGATCCAGCCAGGGCTCTGCAGGTGACTCGTGTGGTCCTGGCCCAGCCTGGGTGGCACGCCCTCCCCAAAATCATCAGGGAAGCTGCACTGCCTCTGCTGCAGACAGACACGTGAGTGCCATTGTCACCAGCACCCTGGAGGAGAAAATCCATCACTTAAACCCAAACATCAGAAATGTGCCCCCTCAGAGGCAAACTCCGGGACGCTGAAGTCTTCCAGGCTGTTTTTAAAGGACGTCCCCTGTGATGTGTCCCCCTATTTGCTTTACACCTTCCTTTCACAGACACTCCCCCTGCTGAAATGCTTTGCTACTTTAGGTTGTTTCAACTCCTCCTAATTCCCCAGCGAGGCTGTTGTGTGCGACATCCACTTGTCATCCGGAAAATAAATACACCCCGGCACAGCCTTGGATGCCTCTTTTTGACAAGTTCCTCCCAAACGTGTGTGCGTTTCAGTACGGTTCTCCCAGAAAATAGCACTCTTTAAGTACCTTTAAGCCTGAAGAGATGGGAAGGAAATGTAAGAAAAGTTGCTCAGCCCGTAGTAAAAGCACAAACCCCCGTCCTTATCCTTCATAAAACCGAACTCCCACTGCACGGTGCCAGAGCTGTTTGCTCTCCGCATGTTTACACCTCGACTTTGGGCATTCCCGGCCTTAATCCTTCAGGGCTGGGGCAGCGGTTATTGCTATTTTAAATCCGGTCCCTTATTTTTTTTGTGTGACTACGCGGAGGTGCAGCGGTGAATTCCATGCCCCAGCCTTCCATGGATACGCGGAGCGTTCCTGCCGCGGAGGTCCCCAGAGGGATCACCTGGAGCCTTGGAGTGCCACCTAGTGACCTGCTTATGGAATGTTGCAGCGGAGCGACCCAAAGGCTTTTCCAGGACTTTGGAAGTATGAGTTTTGTCCTAGGTAAAAAGCAAGGCTAAATCTTCTCTCCCCCCCCTTTTTTTTTTCCTTTTTTTAAAATATTTCATAACTGGCTTTGTCATTCTGTTTCATGAAATCACGCTAAAATTTATCACGGGATAAATTGTCCAGAATGTTTATCTTTCATGAAGGAATTAACTAAAATTGTCTAAAAAATGAACTCTCTCAACTTTTTAAAAAGCCACGGAGCAACAGAGCAGTTTGATAAAGCAACAAAACACTCCCAGCTGCCTCGATGTTCTCTACCACATATTATATGTATACATGATATTTCTACCCTGAATATATAATTATATGCATTTATAGTCTATACAGTACTTCCCCCACCTGTACAGCACTCGGGAAAGGGAGTCACCTTGATCCAAATGTTACATTATGGGAAGCACCACCCACGTTTAAGCTCTCTACCAAAGTACTTGAGCTCTGCCTAAGAACCTTTGGGCAGCCTGCAGCAACAGCTTGCATGTTAATTGGCTTCTAATGTTCTTCCATACCAAGGAAGGAACTATTCCAATAAAATAATAACAAAAATTAATAATGAAAGAGGTGTGTTTTATCAGGACCCATCTCTTTATAGAAGGTCCATGAAGAGCTGAATGTCAGGAAAGGGCATAAATAGAAGAGTGGCTGCAGAGCAGCAGCCTTGCCTTCAGAACACCTCCTCCCACAGACACAAACCATTCCAAAAATGCTTTGAGAAGACAGAAGAGCATCCGCAGAATTATCTGGTTTCCTGGTTTGCTATTTATGAACACCTGTATATTGGGGCCAATGCTGCCTCAGGAGGCAACACGAGCTATAGATAGGGCTGTGAATCACAGCAGAGAATGAATAGCCTGTGCAAACCTGAGCCAGTGGCTGTACCTCTGTGTTTCTGTTTCTCTTCCTTCCTTCTGTCCATCCTGTCCATTTACAGGGAGAGCCCATTGCAGCAGGGCCTGTCTTTCACTGTGTTAACACAGCACCTTTCAAAATAACACACTAAACTTACTTTGTCTGTCTCCCCAGTTACGGCTTTTATGAGGCCAGTGAGTCTTATCTCTGACCCCTTTAACTTCAGTTCTCTTTCCCAGAACTGTACTTTGAAGAACTGAGAGAAGCCTGGCACCCTCAGATGAGGGGACAAGGAGTCCGTGTGCCAGAATTTGTGCAGGGAGCAGCTATACTTTGAACCCTGAATCATATATCTCCAAGCTTTATTTAAATATTTCCTATTAGGAAGAAAGGAACAATGTAAAACCAGCTCTTCAAAGCATATTTTGCATTTCCACACGTACTTAGGGGAAGCTTTTGAAACTAGAGGCAATGGACATGAACAGCACCACATGCTCAATGCTATATTACTTCTTTCCAGGAAAATACAGCATCTAAGTGAGATTACAATCAATTTTATCTCACTCTCTCATCAGTGAGACAATGTGTGAAACCTTGTGGAAGTAGTGGTAAATTTGGATATTCTGGAAAAAAAGAAAAGGTGTGAGCCAGTGCCAAACTTTGAAGAGATACATCAAGTCATGGTCTAGGACAGCTAGACCATTCCTATTTCTACTGTGCTGTTACCTTCCTCCAAAACATGTCACCTGCTTCATCCAACTGACCCTCCCCTTTCACTGTTACTGGGAAGAGCAGTGGAGTTGGTTTTTTATTTCCTGCTTGAATCGTAACCACCAAGAGGGAAAGATGATAATACTAATGAAGAGATGGAACATACCACCATCACCACAAAGGGTAAAGCAGAGTAGATCTTCCATTACTGGTACTCACTCCATCCTAGTTTTGTCAAGATGAAGATTAATCTCAAGCAGGTGAATAAGGACTTGATGCAGGAAGAGCTGGATAAAACTTTATAACCTTCATTTTACAGGAGATTGGTTACAGCAGTCTCTCCTAAAATGAATAATGAACCCTTAAAAACCTGCAAGAGAAATTGCACTGAACAAGGTTTTATGTACAACCTGCTCTGAGATGCCACCAACAGGTGGAAGAGGATGACAAGGACCTGTGGAAACATGCAGCTGAAAAGGACACCTCTCTGAAAGTCCTGTTGGAGAACTCTGTTGCCAAAATCGTGGTGGTGGTGTGTCTTTGTGCTCACAAGGAGATGGGCAGCAGCAGTCTGAAATGGTTTGCTTCTAGGAAGTTAAGGCACAAGGGAGCCAGAAGGGAAATATCAAGGGGGGAAAAAAGGGTCCCGTTGCTCTTTGCCCATCCACTAACTTCAGACCAGAGCAGGATCAGAATTTTTACTCATTGACTCCTCCAGCAAAGTCTTTAAACCCGTGACTTGGTGGTCCTGGCTCCTGATCTGCTACAGATTCCCTCCCATTGTATCGTAGCCTGGGCAGTTCAGTTACTCTCAAAATGAATTTCACTGATTATTGAGCTTGCAAAGAAGTTACTGTATTGCAGCTGTTTTAAAATGCCACTCTCTTGAACACCACAGTCTAAAAAGGCCAAGCGACTCAGAGGAAAGTACTGTCTTGGGTATTTTGGGCTTTATCACAGCAATTTGAAATCTTTAATCCTGGATAGCCATTAACTGCTCTGGACTGCACAGGACAGCAACCCAAATTCTAGCAACACAACAGATGAGAGAGCTTTTGGGTTGTTTTGGAAGGCATTTTATGAGTTCTCTTTTTAAAGTGAACTTTTCCTCAAAAATGGCTACAGTTGGCCCTGATTTCTTCTTCAAAGCACTTGAGGTACTTCCTGTTGTTCCCTTTCTTGCTGTTACCCATGATCTGTGGCCAGTTATCACTTCACCTTCCCTGTCTAAGGAAGGCCCTGAACATGCCAGGAACACTGGAGCATGTACATATTTGTCAGCAGGACCACTCCTTTCTGTAGACTTCTGCAAAGACTGTCTCAGCAGGTGGGGAATTGTGCAGCGCAAGATGAAGAGAAGAGGCCACGGCCTCTCCTCACAGTCCCTTTATCCTTCAGCACAGCTCAAACCCAAAAACCAGCACAAACCAAAAGCACTCCCAGGAGCACCAAGACTTTCCAGAGGCTGCAGATTTCAAGAGCAGCC